GCAGCTACGGGAAAAAGAGCCCAACACACTCTCCAGCCCCAAGTGTGCAGTTGGCCCAGCACAGCAATGCCAGTGCCAAGGGCTCCTGACCAGCGAGCTGAATGCCACTGCTTCCACAGGCCTGGGGGAGCCCAGGAGGAGAGGAATACTGTGACCACACACTGGGCCAGAGGCATTCAGACCAACTTCCTGTCTTTTTTAGGTCCAGGCCATTTTCCAATTAATTTCAAAATAATGTCAAACTGATAACTAGTTATATGACAACTCACTAAGATGATACATTTCAATCAACCAGTTAGAAACAGCAATGAGAAAGAGAAACTATGTAATGTATGTTTTTATTGGGTCTAAAACAATGTATCAAAATGATTTGGTGGTTACAACTACTTTTTTATTTTTTATTCTTTTCTTTACTCTCTTCTTCCTTGGTCCTTGCATTTGAAACCAGGAACTCTGCACTGAGCTACAGCCCCAGCCCCTTTTATTTTATTTTTTTATTTTGAGACAGGGTCACTAACTTGTCAGGCTGGCCTTGACTTTATCATCCTGATTACAAATATTTATCATCACACCCAGATAGTTATTCTTTTATTGTTACACAAGTGCAGAAGCTGTGATCTCTAACACAGTGTGCTTTGCAGAAAAGGTGGAGTCCATCAGCACCGCTAGGTACCTGATGCCAGCAACCAAAGTGAACCACAAAAAGGACAGGTGATAAAACTGGCATGGCACACACCTATAATCTTAGCCCTCGAGAGGCTGAGGCAAAAGGATTACTGAAAGTCAGAAGTCAATTTAGACCACATAGAAAGACAAGGTCTTTAAAAAAAAAAAAAAAGGTACAGCAACATCTATCAAAAAGTTGAAGCCAACCAGACTTTTTCATCTCCTTACACTCATGCAGTACTATTTATCAGGCAGTTTTGGCTAAAAAATACCATCATCATCATCCAACGAGTTTGATCAGATCTCTGGGTCAACAACCAAATTAGATGATGACAAGGGAGAAGGACGGAATAAGCAAATGTGTGGCACTCCAATCTGTAAGAGATGTGGGGACGTGTAGAGGACAAACGGCCCTGTGCCTTCAGTTAATAAACTGCAGTGAGAACAAAAGAAAGTGAGATGGAAACTCCAGGTTAAGAGACACACCCGCCAGCCCCCGCGTCTGGACCTAATCCAGGGCTGCTTCTAATAAACATGCCAAGAAAGAAGAAAACCCCAGACAGAAAGGGAAATCTGAAGGGAGTGGGCGCTGCTGATAGGAGGAATTTACTATTAATTTTTTGGTGTGATAATGACATTGTGGTTACATTTTTAAAAAGGATTCCCATCTATCTATGATGTATTTCTGTGTAACTGGGCAAGGGGAAGGCGTGGCTACGAGGTGGGAACTGTGGATCCTGGGTGACAAGCATGTGAAAGCAATACTCTATTTTTATGTTTAAAATACAAAGTGTCTTTAAAAAAAAAAGCAGAGCAAAGTATGGTGGTGCACCCTGTAATCCCAGCACTAGGACGGCTGGGACAGGAGGGGCTGCTGTGAGACTGAGGTCATCCTGGGCCACATGGTGTGTGCAATGGACTCACCCATTATGTAGCATGAACTACATAATGAGACCCTCTCTCAAAAAACACAACACAACAAAAAAGTAATCAGCCCAGCATATTATTAAGAGGATGAGGCAGGAGGACTGCAAGTTTGGGCCCAGCATGGGTACCTCGAGAGACCCAGATTCGAAATACAGAAATAAAATAATAAGGCCTGGGGGATACAGCTCAGTAGAAAGGCCCGGCCCTGGCTGAGACGCTCAACGTCGCCATAAAAACTAACCAGGCTCACTACAGAAAAATTTGGAAAACTGAGCAAAGTAGAAAGTAAAAAAGACTTTCATAAATCTTACCACTCAAAGCTATAGCAAAAGGAAGTCTTGATTTTGTTGCAACTATTCAAGTAACCCAGACTTCCTACAAAGGACCTGGGAAAGGGCTACAGAGAAAGACTACACAAGGCCGTTTAGATTCACCCGTCTCACCCAATGCAGATTCCTTATCCAGCAGTATCAAGAACCCCGCACACACACCCCATATAACCAGAGAAAGCTACCACTGTTAATTTAGGAAATGGAACCTTATCTGGGTCACTGTTTTTGCTCCTATGGAAGCAGCAAGTTCATTTAGTTATTAACTTGTTCATTCAACAAACACAAATCCATTGTCACCTATGACAGTTCCTGCACTGAGGCTGATTAAAGGGGACAGATTCCCTGCCCAGCTTCAGGGAACTTAGGGTCTGGGAGAAACACTGCCACCTTCAACTGACCAACCCAACTCAGGAAGACACAGAATCAGAACCGGGGCACTCTTCCTCCACTCATATCACACATGGCACCACACAAGATCGGCGCTGAGCTGGGACACAAGTTGTGATGATAAATCAGAGAATTTCTTTTCCCCTACCAACAATTAATAACATTGAAGATTTAGAAAGAGACACCTCTAACAATGACTGGAGTGAATGCTAGTTTCCTTTCTAAGTGGGAGCCACAGAAGGGTGTGTGTGGTGTGTAAATGTCACCCACGTGGCTGTCAACTGTCCAAAGGTCGAGAAAGGAGTGGCTGGACAGTACGCACTGGGACTCTGCATGGGGATCAACATAACACAGTCAGAAGCCACAGGAACCATACAGATTCAAGTCAACAAATCCATGTGACAAGATAACTCGGCCACAGCTAAGAAACTCACAGCTTCCTCATCCAGTGGCAAAAGTGGGTACCAAAACCTGAGAGAAGAGAATAATAGTATAATATGCTGGTATTTCCTCTCTCTCTGAATGACAAAAACCCAGGCATCCGATTTTTGTGCTCTGAATACACTGAAATTTCTTGGTTGTTTTCAATGCGATCAGCCTGAGAAGCTCAACCTCACCCTGAACACAAGTTCCTAGCACCCTGCCCTGTACATGCAACTACTTGGATCTGAGCTTCCTACAGGAACAAAGAATTCAAGACTGCTGAACTCGTGGACACGCTCCAACATTTCCAGCAGCGCATGGCTTCTCTCCAAGAGGACAGACTCGGACATGCACTTACTGGTGCTCCTTCAGCCCTTTCGTCCCATCCATGAACAGGGTATACATCTCTGCTGACACAGATCACGCTCAGAAGTGCAGCTGAAGTCACATAAAGACAGCAGGCACAGCGAGCAGAGCACAGTGCACTCCTCTAAAGTATCAGCTCTGTGAGTGGGCTGGTGCTCCCTGCCAGCTCAGCCAGTACTCCGCAACACACCCCACCAAGAACACCAGCTCCCTGGAGCAAAAATTCCAAGGCATCTGTACACCAACAACATTTCATAAATCATAGACTCGGGACTTGGCTAGCTCAGGCGATCAGAGCCCTATAGGTGCAAACTTGCCCTGACAGTGGAGAAAAGTCCCGGGTGAGAGAAAGGATCAATTATAATCTAGGCAGCTCTTAGACAGGAGCCCCTGAGCAGGGCTGAGTTAGGGGCACTTGCGGTTACATAAAGGGGCACAAATAGGCCTTAGGTGTGGGGGGGGGGACTGCCATTGCCTCATGGGGGAGATGGGCTGAGGATGTAGCTGATGTCCTGAACAGAAGGAGAATGAGGGTCACAAAAGGGAACAGAGCAGTGACCTCACAGGACAGAACGACTGCTACTGGCCAAGTCCTGACCTGAGCAGCATACACCTTTCAGGTTTGGAACGTGAAGGTGTACTTTCCTTCTCACACCCTAACAGGAGTGAGTCATTGCTGAGGTGAAAACTGTCCAATGCTGCGTTGCTCACACACCCAGACCAGGTAAGAGGAGCCCATGGAGAGAAACACGGGGCCAGGGGGTCACGGCAGCCAACACTCCCAGCACCCAAGGTGCTCATAAAGGCAACTAATGACACAGTTAGACACTCTTGAATGTGAGAAGCAGTGAAGGAACCCAAATACTACAGAAGGGTTGGAGGCAATTATGGAGTAGAAAAAGAAAGTGCTGTGGAGGAAGTGAGTAATTAAACAGGCTTTCTCCCAAAGTTCACGCAGACCTCAAGGTCCTGACCAGCCAACGGGAGAAGATCGGGGGTAGAGCAGGGCCCAGCAAGGAACCTGCAGGGAGCCTAGAGTGGGATTTGGCTCAGCTAGGCTGGGCGCCATCCAGGCCAGGCCAGGGACCTTAAGGGAGCTCAGATGTGCTGGCCCTGGGCTCCCGTCCTCAAGATGCACTGAGCCAGTGGCCTTCCTAACCTGGCCACACCTGGCCAAGCCTCTCTACATCCAGATCTGCCCTCAGTGCCTGGCCTGCCCAAAGACACCCACCCAGTGCTACTGGGTACCCTGCATCTCTCAGGCAACACCCTCACAGGCCTGATGCTCCTCCCCAGGCCCACAGGTCCAAGCTGGAGAGACAATCACTGGAAGAGTCTTAAGGTGCAGAGGTATAACTCTGGAGTTTAGGCAGGCCAGGGGTAGGGAGAATCAACTGAGACCCAAAACCTGCACAGATCAGGATCAGGGGTGTATCTGGAAGTCACAGTCAGGTGATGCGGGGATTATGATGACCAAGGGTGGGTGAGCAGGATGAAGTCAGGCCACCCCAAGATGCCAGGCCTGGTGGGGCTGAGGTCAGGGGTTACCTGGAGATTCTGGCTAGGCAACCTCAAAGCAACATCCCCACGGGTTGGCCCTGGAAGTACAACTACAGACCAGGTGGAGTGGGGTGGGGAGTCAGGGTGAGCCCCAATCAACTGGGCAGAGACAGGGTGACTTGGGGGTTTGGGCCAGAAGGGATCTGGGTTGGAGGTGACCCAGGTAGTTCAAGGAGGGTGGGGTCCAGGGTAGAGATGACATGGGATTTATCCCAGACAGGGTGGGGATGACCTGGGGATTCAGGCCAGCCAGAATGATGGTGGGAGTGACCTCAACAGTTCAGGCCAGGCAGGCGCGAGGCTGAGGCACCAGGGTTCCCAGGCAGGGTTCACACTCACTGGGGGGGCAGCTGCAGGGCGGGGGCACCGCGCCTCTGGAAGGCTCCGTCCACGAAGACGCCGTTCTTGCCGAGACAGCGCAGGTAGAAGTGCGGCTCCTGGAAGCTCAGCTGCAGGTGGCGCCGCGAGATGAAGCTGGACAGGCCCATGCTCAGGTCCACCGAGCCCTGAGACGAGTTGCGACCGATGGTGACGCTGGGCTGCCGCATGAGGAACTCGAACTCGCGGCCCTCCAGACGCGCCAGCGCCGGCCCGGGGCTCTGCCTCACCGAGGCGGCCGCGGCAGCCACCAGGGCGGGCGGCGCGCCCGCGATCGCGCCCTGAGTCCCGGGCGGTGGAGGCGGCGGCCCGGGGGGCGCGGGCGGGGGCTGGGCAGGCGGCGGCGGGGACGCTGCGGGCCCCGGCGGCGGCGGCGGTGGCGGTGGCGGGGACGTGGCGGGACGGGCGGCGGCGCACCGCGCGGGGCTGCAGGGCGCAGAGCGCAGCGCCAGGAGGGCGCGGGCGCCGCTGTCCTCGCCGACTTCGGCCATGTTCGCGCAGCTCCGGCGGCGCGGCGCGGCGCGGCGCGGGGCGGGGCGGGGCGGCGCGGGGCGGGGCGGCCGGCGGCGGCGCGCGCGGAAACCCGGGCCGGATTCCAGGAGCGGAGCGGAGCTCCCGCGCCGCGCCCACCCGCTTTGCGCGCAACACCGCGCGCCGCCTCCTCCAGCGTGGGGCCGCGGGGATCCCCCAGCGAGCCTGGCTCCCCGGTTCCCGGAGAGCGGGGGAGGGCCGATGACCTATGCTGTGTGCTGGGCCCGGGGACGGTCTTCCACCCCAAGGTGGATGCTTCTGTAGCGCCCCGGGCGGGTTCCCTCCTGTGCCTGGGGATCGGGTCTGCCGGGGACATTGCGACCTAGCCCGGGTTCCTTTCTGATCCTTTTTTGGTGGTTTGGTTTTGTTTTGTTGCTATCCCAGGGATGGAACCCAGGAGCGCTCTAAGCGACGAGTTACATGCCCACCCCTTATCTGTTTCATTTAATTTTGGCAGTAAGGGCGGTGGGGTGGGATGTGAGTGGGGTCGAACCCAGGAGCACTGTAACCATCTGCCAACGTCTAGAGTCCATTTCTATTTTGAAATGATTTAGTCATTTATTTTATTTTGGCAATCCTGGGGCTCGAACTCAGGGATGCGCTATTATAATGCGAATTACACTCCCAAACTATTTATTTAGTTATTTTCTCATTGTGTTTGGCATATTGAAAATTGAACCCAAGGTCTTCACATTGAGCTCTATCCAGAACCAATTTGTATTTTTCATTAACTAATTTCATTTTTCATTAATTTAATTTAATTTTAGTGGGACCGGAGGTCCTTAAACTCAGGCCCTTCGCACTAACCTGTATGCCTAGACCTTTTATTTTTTTTAAATAGGGCCCAGCTTAGTCACTAAGGTAGCCAGGTGGGGCTTGAATTTATGATCCCCACCTGCCTCAGCGTTCCAGAGTGTTGGCTTTACAGGCCTCCAGCTATATTTGTCTTTTACTTTGAGACCGAGGTCGGTTTAAATTGCCCAGCTGGAACTTGAACTTGTGATCCTCCTACCTCTTTCAGAATCCTTCAACAAATATGCCAGGATTGCACACTTACACACAGATCTTAACTGAAAGTAAAGAATGGTACATTTGGGTATCATTTAAATCCCTTTAGAACTTCAGTTCTAATGGATTGGCTAATTCAGCCAGGTCCCCTTTAAAATTTATTTTCTTCATTTAATAACTGTTGAATTTGAAAAACTAGAAGTGGTCCCTGCCCTGGTGAAGCTTATAGTCTGGCAAGAGATACAGACATGAATCAAGACAATTTGAGGCGGCCCAGGGGAGATTTGCTGTGTGATGACTTGGGAGTGTAGGAAGGGGCTGGGCCTCCTAGGGTGGGAAACTTCCCTGCCTTCCTGTCCATCCCTTTGGGCTGAAACAGGCATTTAGCCAATTATATCTCTATATACCTATTTTGCATAAATGAATGAAAAGAGGTAAATATGTATCAGGGAAGCAAAGGACACAGTGTTTTTAAACACTATCCTAGGGCATTCATGTTGGTCTGTGTTTGTAGATGAGTGTGTTTGAACTGAGGGGGAATATTTTCAGGGAGATTCATGGCAATGTGTATTTTACTCTAATAAATATTTAAAAATTTTAAAACTCACTGCACCTTTTGATCACATCACCTGCAAGCAAAGAGGCAGGATATGGTCATCAGTACATAAACCTTGATTATGAAAAAAGAAAAACCTTGACTATGAAATCCTCCTCCCCACTCAGGGGAGGGTCTGAAAGCAGGCAGAAGGCTGAGCCCACGGATCCTCACAATGGAAAAGCTGCTGTCCACACTAGTGAGTCAGAAGGCCTGGTGCTGCATCTACAATTGCCAGATTAGAGAGCTCAGACCATTCTTCGGTCTTCTCAACAGAACCTTCCTTTTTCTGTCCCCTGGATGTCACATCCTGCTGCTTCTGCATCCTTCTGGGATCCTTCCTGCTTCCTGCCGGCTCACTGAGACCCTCAGATTTCACATAGTGCCATGATGACAACTCTGTCTCTGAAAAGTACTGTGCTTTTGTATCACTGCACAATGTAGAGACCTGAAGTCCACATGTGTGTACATGTATGTGTGTGTGTTGCAAAGTAAATCCTCTATGTAAACATTTCTTACCCATTCCAGAGCAAAGCCTAAACACTTAAGAGATAAATGCGGTGCCCCAGCCTGCTTCCAGCAGGCTGATTTGTTTTTCTTCTATAGCCACTGTCATTTACAACTCATTTTATAAACACCAATTCCAGGAAAAGATATGTCTGACTCTGACACCACAGGAAATGTGTTCAAACCAAGCATGGGGGAGAAAATTCTCTTGTCAGAATATGCTTGTGTTGAGACTTAAAAAAAAGGGGAACTGTTTTATTGCCTTGAGACAAATGACTCTTAAAAAAAAAAAATTTTTTTTTTTGGTCTTTTTGAGACAGGGTCTCACCATGCAGTTCAAGCTGATTTTGAACTCACTTTGTAGCCCAAGCTGGCCTCAAACTCACAATGATCCTCCTGCGTTAGCCTCTCAAGTGCTGGATTACAGGCGTGCATGCCCAACTAACTGTAAAATTCTTAAACACTTAACGTCTCACAGTTTCCATGGGTTAGGGATTCAGGAAGGACTTTTTGGGGTGAGTCGAATTCAGAGTATCTCATGAGATTGATCAAGAAGCTGGCCAGGGCTGGCATGGTGGTGCATGCCTGTAATCCCACAGTCTGGGAGGCTGAAGCAGTAGGATGGCAAGTCTGAGTCCACTGTGGGCAGCTTAGATGCTTGGCAAAGCCCTATCTCAAAATATATAATAATAAAAAGTTGGAGATGTAGCTCAGAACAAAGGTCTCTCTTCCATCTAGGGTTGAACAGAACAAAACAAAGCAAAACAAAAACTGGTCAGGGCCTCATCTGCTGGAATTTTGCTGAGGACCCAAGGTGGCACCTTGTACACCGAGGAAACTGTCCTGTCATCAGCCTGTGAATTGGCTTGCACATCCTCACAGGATAACAGCCACTCACTCCATGGTGGGGACTCCACGCCAGGGCCGAGGAACTGCCGGTCTTTTGTGACCTGACCTCAGATTCTAGCTATGTTGAATCCAAGATCGGCCCCAGTACCTGTAGAAGAGGCCCACACAGCAATGTGGGTCCCGATGAGGAGGTGACATGAGGAGCCAGCATGATGGTGCAGTGGAGGACATGGGCTTTGGGATCAGCTGCATGAAAGCTCCCTTAGAGCTGCTCAGCTGGGAATCTTGGGACTGGTAGGGGACTGGAAGTTCATCAGGACCCAAAGATCCATGTCTCTCCTTGCTTAGCAGCAGTGGATAGCAATCATAATGGGTTGAAGCTGTTACCCCAATTCTGTGAGTGAGGCCCAGAGAAGATTAAAATGTGCACAATGAGTCTCTGGTTAATCAGATTCTGCTTAGTCATTTTTTCCTGCTCTGTATTGTAAGAATCCTGGAGGACCTGGGAGAAAAACCCTGCAAAGTGTGGGGACCCCCAGGACTGATCCCTGGTACTCTCAGACTGGTCCACACAGGGCCTCCAGAACTGTCCTTTGCCATTTTTACTTTTCTCTCCTGGAACCTATTCCTGAGTTTCACTATAGGTGTGTGTTCTAGATACTATGAATCTTCCCATCCACCTTTCCCTTTGCAACTTGGGGGCAGAGATTTGTGCTGTGACCTTGTACATCTAAGAAGAGTGACTGATTTTCAGTTTGTTCCGCTGTTTTGTTTTCTTGCTGTATGTACAGGAGCAAGGAGTTCTAAGCTTCTCTTGTGCCAGACTGGGCCCAGGAAGTCAGTAACTGAAAATTATCAGTAATACAGCAGCCTCATTTCTGCTTCTCCTAGAATCATTTCAAACTTCTACGTGTACCACCCACTGCTTGATTCTCTAGGCTCTCGAGGTCACCTCTTCTAGAGGCACCTTTGGACCTGGCCACCAGGGCCACCCCAAACTTCCCAATCTTATGCAGTCCACTGCCATCATGGTGGAGGAGTCCCCACTGCAGACATAACTCATCCATGACAGCAGAGCCACCTGGACCCTAGCAGGAACCTTAAAGTGGAACCCTGGGCACAGCTGGGCAGATGGGACCATGTCCAGGCTTCAACCCAGGTGAATGCCTGCAGAAATGTGCTGGGGACATTTTATAGGCCTCCTTCCTTTATGGTAGCTGCTGGCCACACATAGCTACTGAGCACTGGAGATGGGATTGCTCCATTTGACATGTGCTGGAAGTGTCAAATGTAATATGTGCTGGATTTCAAAGACTTAGAAAGTGAGGAACGAGAAAATCTCATTAGTAATTCTTGTATTGATTATAGTTTGACCTGACAATATTTTTAATGTATCCAGTGAAACAGAATAAATTATTAAAACAAAACTCACCTTTTTTTTTTTTTAAGTGTTTAAATACTGCTGCTAGAAAATTTTAAAAGTCACGTGTAGCTAGTAGTTGTGATTCCCATGACATCTCTGTTGGATAGCATAGATGGTGCAGGACAATGAAACTGTCTTGCCCAAACAGATGTTTTTGTGTCAATGATGATTTAATGCATAAGCATTGATTTGGTTGTCTTTGTGATGTGTGCATGTGTGTGTGTGTTGTACTGGAGATTGAATCTAGGGCCTTTGCATTGAGCTACCTTCTCAGGCCCTTTTCACTTGTTAAATTTTGAAACCGTGTCTCTAAATTGCCCAGTGTGGGCTAGAACTTGCAATCCTCCTATTGTTGCAGGCAGCTGAGTTAGTTAGAAATATTACAGGCAGTGAGACAGGGCTAGGTCCTGGAAGGAGCCAGTGCAGAAGCCCAGATACCTTGCAACAATGGGGAGAGACAGACACTTCCTGCTGTGCGCCAGGCCTCAAGACAGAAGATCAAACAAATGCATCCATATCCGAAGGACTGATATTCTAAATAGCTCCCTGTCAACCTGAGGAAGCCAGGAGTCACCCTCCCAACCCACTAGGAAAGAGCCACTG